AGTATCTGCACCTTGGAAATCTTTTGACAAAATATTATTACTTTTTAGTTATACTTAGCCTTGCCAAGATAATACGAACCGGCAGAACTCTAGTTCCTATAGGAATAATTCCATAGCACAATCTGTGCCTATTACCTGCATGGCTCCTCTTGTGGCCAAGCTACAATCAGTTCGCGGCCGCCATCAAATTTGTAGGCTTCTGCTGTTCTTACCGCCGCGAACTTTTTGTCTAAACTATGCAAATCTATATCGAACGTCCATAACAGATAGAATCACCGGTAGCAAAGAAAGGAATAGTCGTACGTATTTCTGGGCATTGAATCGACAAAAGGGGAACCAAAGAATCACGGTGAAGGATATTTTGTATGTGGGCTGTTATGTATACTGTGTGTCTCGATCTCTCTATCTTTAAATCATTCGAGTTCTCACTCGGTAGCATTCACTGCTTATTCTTTGTCGACCCCTGTACCTTTGTCCTTACATAGGAAATCTGAGCTGCAAAAAACTGCCCTTTTTGTCGTGGCGCTTTCCTCGTATGGCGATTCAGCGCGCTTCTTCTTCTCGCTTTTACGCTGCTAAGGGACATGTTCGTTCCATTGTCAGCCCAATCGCAAATTGAACGAGTTCAATTCGAATTTAAATCTAATTTTGAAGCAAAAGCAAGAGCGAGTTTTCAACACTTTCCAACGCATACCCCCATTCGTTCTTTCTCTCCATGAATCCACCCCGAAATTCAACCAAAGTTTGCTTACATTGAATTCACCCCTCCACCCCTATCCGAACGCCTGGGGTACGTCAATTTTATCGCCCTTTTAAACTACCAGCCAACGTTCTCGTATTGCAAAGAACACGCGAACATGCCAATATTACCGTGCGCGGGCACGAGCGCTCCCCCACCGCAGGTTTTCGGTTTTGACGGGACGCAAGAAGCGAAGCGAACTTATCCACAAGTCCCCAAAACGACACAACAACGGTGAAAATAACTGACGGTGGGACCAACGTGTTTTTCGGCTCCGTGGCCACACCGGCTGAAATAGCCAAGAGCTAGGAAATATGGAGATTTCCCATTTCCAGTTCCACCTTATTGCCGCTAGTACTCCTACTAAAAGCATTAGAATTTGAATGTTTCAAATGGAATAATTTCGCTTGCAGGATGCAGGATTGGACGAGGTTGATAACATGAACAGAGAGTCATAGAACGATATGAAAACTGGCCTTGCGCCGATATCAGTGGGGAGCGATACTTCTCAATATCGCAGGTTTGCGTTCTGAGGGGCGTGTTTCGATAGGAAATAGGTACTATGAACTAAAGAAACATTAGCAAGCAAAATATTGCAATACTCGAGACTTCCATTAATAAATCTATCTGCCAATCAACGTGAACATTATGCTTACTAATTGTTTTATGATACCTAATTTTGTGTGGTTAAGTTGTAACGAAAATTCGTGCGCGCTTTTTTTATAGAATAGAAAATACTATTCTTTTACTTTTGTGAGAATAAGTTTTTATATCATGTGTCCCTTATATTGTTTACTTGCTTTCTTCCATTTTCACGTCAAATGATGTACGCGGCCTCGTCAAAGAGAGTTGTCGATCCGTGTCGAAGGAACAACTTCGAAGTCGATTGCTAGAAAGTGGAAAAGGCGAAAATCTGTCGGCACAAGGCCCGTAGAGGGCAGCTTTGGTGATGTTTATCATGTGTGACCTCTAGTTATCATGGAGTAGGATGCCCTAGCTTCTTTTATCGAGTCCTTTCATTTAAACAACCTGACTGATTCGGTGGAGCTAATTCAAGTGAACATATTGATGAACTGGCTAATTTGTACAAAGCAACTCCCAGTGAATAGAGTCCTCGAAGTCTCAACTTGTTTTGGATGAAGGTCTAATTGGACTTTGGTATTTGGTTCCTCTGCTGATGCGATTTACTTCGATCGCTAGTTCATGTTGACATATAGACACTGTTCATATAGACACAGTGAGAATTCTGTGCAAAAATCGGTCATCGTGACCGCGTGACGCTCGCTATCAGACGAGTTCTTGAGATGCAGCCTTAAGCCGAAATGTTTTGTTAGATTTAGAGAGTTCATGAAGCACCCGAACTTTTAGTTTCCGTGTAAGCCCAAGGGATTTGTTTTGATTAACGACGATCGTGTGGCTGTAGCCCGTGTTCGAGTTATTCCCAAGTTGTTTGTCGACCATTTTCCTTCAAAAATACCCTTGGATGATCGCCGTCACACTAAGACGGTTGGCCACAGCGGGGGGTGCCCTTTAGGTCCCAGATGCGCTCTTGAAACTTAGCAAACCACTCTTGAGCCATCCTTTCAGCGATAGCGTCGTTACCCAACGCAAGATGATTGTCCTAGGCTGTTCCGGCGACGTTTCAAGGTGTCGAAAATGCACTTTTCTAGCCGGAAACATCAATTTTTGAAGAGTTCTTTCGAATTTAAATTATGCTCAAAACATAGTGCCGCTGCAACACATATTTTTAAACACTATATCAAAAAGAAACAAGAAATAAGGGGAAGTGGTAAAAGGAAGTTTCTTAAAAAAGCGCACATTTTTTTTTCTGCCTAATAAAAAAATCGTAAGGTTCAAACCTCGTGCGCTCAAAACTCGAGCAGAAGGGTTAGTTTCTGCTCGACTTTTTTACTAGCTTTGCACATAGCTTTAGCGTTAATAAAATATCTTTATTAAACTGCGTATGTATTTCCGTATCGCTATATGATACGTCTACAGGGTGCTCTTCTATTTCTCCAATTTTTGAATAACGTGATTATGAATTGGAAGCTATAAAGGCTGTTGTAAGCAAAGGCCTGAAGGAGGGAAGCCAGTAAATGCTAACGTTTATTTATATTTCTACCGTTTTCATTTTTTATAAACACTAGTGCAAAAAGAATATGTCAACAAACAATAATGAGCTTCGGTAGTGATTTTTGATACCATTATGTCATACTTTTGAATTTAGTTCTTCAAACGCATTTTCGGACACGCCTCAGGTTCGATTCTGTTTCCTTGCCCTTGTCAAAAGCCTTATTTCTGCCATATGCTGCATTGGAAATGAGCTAGATAGTAAAGTAAGCGCATCAACGCTGTGCGATTTTACTTTTGTCCAGCCAGCGCCCTGCATAGCTTGATGTATAACGAAAAATCCAGCAATTTGAGAACTGCCGGATTTTGAAGGATACTTTGCAATGATGTGGTTGTCTTCAAGACCAAAAAGACCTTTAGAAGGGGTCACTGATGTCGTTCTGCATCGAACTGGAAAAGAGGCTTCGGTACGAGAAGAGTTTACTACTCGCGTGAGGACATTTTTTCTCTTCTGTTTTCTTGATGGGGATATTTTCTAGCGACGTCGGTACACCACGTGACAGATGCAGGTACTAGAATTAGAGTATACGTTTTTATTTCCAACTGAACTTGACGCATAAGTACGACCTGCAGACTACTAGATGCATAGGGAAATTTATTATCATTGAAGATTATTATTCTTGAGGTCATGTGCTAATCACTTTATTGTGTCTTCCTGGAATAGTGAAGGTCCTAGTTGTAATGATGACTAGGAGCAAAACTTACGGAGTACCCTATTTAGGTATGTAAACTTGCATTTGATGACAGTGTTTTGAGCATTAATTGAACTTCCAGTATTTGGGTTTTTTTTTTTCTAGAGTAGATGTGAATTTATGCAAATAAGGTCGCCGCACCTCTGCAGAGTTGTTTGTTCAAGTATAATAAATCGCAGATCTCGTTTTTTGCAGGTTCTCTATTTTTATTTGAATCAGTTAATTGAAATGTTTGCACCTGAAAATGAAGTAGCTATTAATTTTTCAGATTGTGCTGAAATGTGTAACTGCTTGAAAACTTTAGCTTAGTTCTATTAAAGTGACGTGAAAAAAATGTTCAGTCATTTCAAAGGAAAAAAGCTTACTCACTGTTTTTACGAAATTATTAAACAATAAAGTCGTATATATTTAGCCCATTTAAGGAAAGATTAGCAAGCATTTTTGTCAAATCACGCTTGATTTGCGCTGGCATCGTTGTACTTGTGTAGCTATAGAGAGCAGCGTTGTACCTGGTGTTAAATCCGTGTAGCTTCAAATGCTCACTCGAAGACATGTGTACTCTGGAGCCGTCACCCAGATCAACTGTATTCTCACAACGCTGTCATTTGCCATGGGAGAGGATGCAGCTGTAGAGAGCCCGATATCAGTTGGCAACAAAGCTTGACCCAACCAATGGAGACCCAAATAATTTCCGGCACTGCTTACACAAGGCGAAAGTTGGTTTTCGCAGACTACAGCGACACCCAGGAAGCTACTTACCAGACAAGCCCATCTAACAAGTACGATAAGCCCATTGTATAATGAAATAGCTGCCTTCATCATGTACTACTCAAGGAACGGGGGGTTTAGTGGACCTGCAAGTTTAATCTAATGCCTGAAGGCGACGCACTTAAGCATTCAATCCTATGCAGATGATGCTGGCTGAAACAACCCTAACGCAAGTTAATTTACCAGAATTAATATAATTGCATTTCTTTGACGAACGAACAGACGATATGAGCGGAACCATTTATCAATATTGGAACTTCTTCTATGTCGTACATGTGTCTAGAGATAAGTTAACTAATCTACACTATTTTTACAAGGTAAGGTTATGATACTCCGACCATTAATTATTAAGGGTACTACAATCAAAGGATAATTACAGCCTCTAACTAGTATGCCTACTTGACCTTTGCACTCTACTAAATACGAGAAACCCGACGAATCTGTGTGCATGGCCTTCATTCATGTATAAGGGTCTGTAATCGATGTCCAATATCCTTACTATCCCAAGTGCCGCCTAACCTATTTTGTTTGTTAACCTACATCTAATAATCTTTCAATAATAACTAGCAGCAATAGAAAACAATTATAAGTAACTCCTCTTATGTTATTTATCGTGCATGTACGCTACAATGAACACACGACAGAATACAGTTTTTTTTTTTTCTGGAAACTATAGTTTATAATGTATTTGTTTACACGATATTCTGTTTCACATGTCGCTTATCTGCATGAATTCGAAGCCCGTTAATATCCTCATCATTTTTAATAGCCTGCGTGGAATCAGGTGATTTTTCTTATTTCTCCGTATTCTTTTTTCCCCTCTTTTTGTCTACGCATATGGCTTTGGCACATTGATAGATTTCGGCATCGTTTTTCCGGCTTTCTTCTGTTCTGCTATTAATCCCTAGTGTTATAGATTTATACATGTGTGAATATCTGTTCGATATTGACTCTTCTGCGTCCATTTTTAATCGGCCTTTTTTTTTCGACCCAGCCCTTTTGCCCGGTGCTGTCTACCTTAGCCAATTAGCTTTTTGTCCGTGTTAGCTTACACATTCCGTGCTCGTTTTCAGTCACTCTCAAAGTATGCACGGACTCGAAAAACCCGATCGACATCAGTACGAATTGCAATTTTTTCCTGACACTTTCGTCACATTTTTGCACTTTTAGTGATATATATATATGTATATATATACACATATATATGTATATATATACACATATATATATATGTATATATATATTGGTTCCTTTTAAGTTACCATACCTTTTGAACGCGAAACAAATGTCGTTTGGATGGATATCGACACGCTTGTGGTAGTGAATGACAGTATATCGACGTCCTTGTTTTGCAATGCGACAGATGCTGACGGGCGGCTCGCAGTTTGGACTTTGATCCATGGCTTTACTATGGATGGCGCTAGCAAAATGTCTGTATGAGTGGATGATTGTGTGAGCGACATGGGTACGCGCGTCACCTTCTTTATACTGGAACCAAGCTAGGATTCATGCATTTTTATTTCTTTCACACGTTCCAAATTGGATCTTTTTGACAAGCTTCGCTTTCGCGCAGAGCTCTATTTTTGCTAGTACAATTGCAGGCTGCCACAGGTGTGGAATATAGTGTTCTCTTCACTTGCCTCGACTGTTTTTTGTTTCTGTCTAACACTTAGGCTTTTTCGTCTGTCTTGTTCGAGCCGTGCGTCTGATCTGGGACAATTCTTCCTGTCAACCATCGCGCATATTCCCGGTTGTGACTTTGTACTCGAAGGGATCTTCGCTCAGCATCGCCAAAGCGGCGTGGCCGGGCGTGAATTCCTGCGTCAAAAAGGGCCTTCTCTCGCTCGAAGTAACTCCTTTTCAGGACTTCGTCGTATCATATCTAAAATTTCTTTTCGACACAAATGTGTGTATGCATATATTCGTATATAATTTGAAGTTCATTCTGTGATGATATTATGCGAAATATGTTTTACATATATATATATACACACGTTTACAGAGTTTGTTGTTGCTCACATAGTTGGTATAATTTTGTCAGAGTGGGTCAGCTAGGTGAATTTTGTGTTTTGTCAACCACTTTATTTTGTCGCTGAAAGAATATGGCAGTCTTCACAAACTTCAAAAGGGTTGCGCGTTGTGTATCGGATTAGAGGTACGGCGTCCTCCCTACGGCATTTATAATGAAAATATACATTTTTTGATAATCTTCTATAGCCGGTTAGGATTGATGCTAGTTTTGTTGAAGCATTCCCACCAACCGAATTAGCCAGTTTATCAGTTATTCCAGCATTTCCCTCAATCATACGCTCATCTTCGCTCGCATTTATCATATACCCACAGTCACGTTCTCATCGACATATACATACACATGTATACAGATCATCAGCGGTAAAAACCAACAACAATTTTTACATTTCTTTTTGCCAAAGCTGTTACGGGTACACAGCCATAGGTTTCTAAACTACAACTAATGTTAGGAATACTGTGTTTCTTTTGTTTCCCCGTCGTCATTCAAACAGCGTTGGCCTCAGCAAAGTTTAACATAATTTTTTTTTATCTACGCCGTCCGATCCCTTCTTGAACTCCTAAGCGACTGTTGTTACGTTCATTAACAGTCAATCAGCTACAGTGTCTCTGACTGGCGTCTTTTCTGTTTCTGCACTGTTCTACAACTATTATTGTGCGGCTGCCGCTTCTACGTTAATTTGTCTCTATGTTCAGTCTACCATAGAGTCAAACATAGGACCCACTTGATAATCGCGAACGATCTTTTTGCCAATTTTGGCCATTGTTTTTCTCTACAACTGAACGAGGTGTTGTATCGTGCACGATGCTACACCGTGAGCTACCGTGTGCTGTATTATACCGCTGCTCTATTTTTACACGCTCTTTGTTTTCACTTGCGCTTTGTTACGTGCACAGGGGTTCGGTCTGGCAGGCGCTGTCGCAGAGCACGGAGCTCCTCTGAGAGTTTTCTTCGACGAGGAGGCCACTGTCTCCGTGCTGCAGTCCGTGATCGTCGTCGTCGTCGTCATCGTCGTCGTGGTCGTGCTCGTGATCGTGGTCGGGATCGAAATCCATGTCGGTTCCGCCGCGGCCACCGGCGAGCGCGTCGGCCGATTTCGCTGCACGCAGCCGCTGTCGTCGGTCCATCTTTTCCATTGTCCCTGCGCCGAAGTACGTCACGCATTCGTCAGCACTCTCGAGTGGCGCATAGGACTTATTGGACAGCGAGAACGTGGAGTTGATGCGGCTCAGAAAACTGCGCGACGCCCGCTTAAGACTGTTAAAGGAGTTGTGTATAGTGTGCAGGTCGCGACTATCGTCGGAGGGTGACATGTGGAGGTCGAGGTAGACGGCCGAGTCTGGCGTTATGTCCTCGTCCGCGGCGGCGGTGGTCGTCGTTGTACACCGGGGGCCGTGGCCGATGGCTCGGTTATGCTGCGAATGCTGTTCTGCTGGATACAGTGACCCCACAACGCCAGACGGTGCCAGATCGAGGCTCATCTTGTGCATGGACGATGGGGGTTGATGCTGCTGCTGCTGACTCTGATTTTGGTGTTGTCGCGATGGCTTGTGCTGTCGTGATTCCTCCTCCTGAGGCTGCTGCCGTTCATTTTGGGATTGAAGCTCGTCCTGCGAGTGATATTGCTGCTGATGATGACTACTATGATTTTTCTTCTCGGTACTGCTGTGGTCCTGTGTACTGCAGGCTTGCTCGTCGCTTTGCGTGCTGTTGAGGCGCGGTCGAATGCCGTTAGGTTTCGACGATGATCGCGCGCTCACTATGGGAGAGATGCTGCGCAATTCGGGGTCCACAGGGACGCGTCCCCGCTGCATCTCTTCCTGTATGCGCTCATACTCTTCAAGAAAGCGTCGGCGATCTTCTTGCGTGGTTCGCTTCATGTGACGCTCCTGTTCATGTCGCACTAGCCTTTCCATAAATTCACGTTGAGCAGCCACCGCTTGCGAGTGATTAAGGTACGGGTTCGAATTAAGAAAGAACGCCACGTCAAAGCTATTAGCAGCGGACTCGCTGCTGCACGTACTACCTGCCATCGTGCGTCGGTGATGATGTGCGACGTATTCTCCGCCAGGTCCGCTTTGCCCTAGCGAGGACAGTTGATCACTGGAGACATCGATTGAATTGTCGAGACTTGAACAATGACTGCGCTTAAAACGCGGGAAAAAAGGCGAACTCAAAAGCATTGCGTCTTCCTCCGTGATTGAATGAATTCGAGAGCCCATTCTCGCCCTAATCGACTCGTCATCACCCTCCCCATCCTCCTCATCAGCGGGAGGAGCTTCAGCGACAGGCGCCGCGGGAGTTGTACCCCTACGTAACTTGTCGCGGAATAAGATCGTCGAGTGACGCTGGCTACTTTCAACAGTTGAGTTCGTCGCGCTTCTCGATTGGCGTCCAGATCCTAATGAGCTGAGCGCTTGGATAGGGTGCGCCAACAGCGAATTTCGAGTATGCGACCGAGCACTATTTGCCGCGCTTTCCTCAGACCGTCCTTGGAACGTAAATGGAGCTGTGGTCTGGCCACGGCCCCATGCGTGACTCCTGTTCGTTAGCGCAGTCGGTACATTGGAGAAGTCTAGCGATGTATTGAAGTTCTCATTGCGAAAACCGTAGACAATATCAGAACAAGACTCATAGTTGTGTACTACGTCCTTGCTTTCGCAACAGCAGTAATTTAAGCTAAACAGACGTTGTAGACAGCCTGGGCTCTTTTGTTCTGGAACTGAGTCTTCGCTGCGGTTATCACTTTCGCTTTGGCCTTGGCAGACAGTATACCCAAGCAGGATGCAGAGGGTTAATTCAAGCATTCTCAGCACGAGCTGCTGACTCCACCATGGCCATGGATCAGCCGGTCGACGATTTTCGTTAAACACCCCGTTGATAGCAAGGAGACCGTAAATGATGCCACCATTCAGAGCTAGAAATAAAAGAGCATTAATGAGACTTACTCGAACGGCAACACAAATTGTTGGTCGAGGCAACTTATGCGGCAGATCAGCACCCTCCATATGAAGCTTTGTGAAAGTGGCCCGAAGACTTTCGCCGTGTTTCCGCCTAGCGGCCCTATTGATATCCTTAAAGACGTACAAAAAACACAAGACCATCAAAATAGTCCAACTCGTAAAAATCGTGATAGAAATCAGACGCATCGACGCCCTAAAAGGATAAACGCCAGCGACAACGTCACAGCTTATAGCGGCACCGGACACGAGCACTATGATCAGGGCTAAGACACAATTGTTTTGCAAATTTTTAGCCGTCAAACGCACGCATGTGATGTTGAGCAGAGACAAAAAAACAATGGCGAAGCTCGCTGCAATGCATAGCAAAGGCAGGTCTGCAAGAACAGGTACTGCTTCGGCCGGATAGGTCAGATCCGCGTTATATGGGTCGACTAATAGAAACGTTGCTCGAAGTGATGTGGCAGTGAGAAGAAATATAGTGACGCACATAAAGCGCCCCTTGCTTATCAATAACGAGGAAGCAGGAGTGAATAATTTGGCGACGAGTTGGCAAAAATTTGCGACCGATAAGAAAGCGAATAGGCCGCCTGTCGAATAAACATGAACTGGCCAGTATTTTCCCCATTCAATTCGAGCTTTACGAAAATCTGGCTTTTGTGGCTCCTGAACGCGAAACTTGTAGCCCCATGTAGAAGAAGTATCTTGCGATAATTTCTTGTCGAGACCCCACTTCGCTTGATGTCTATCAGGCAGATGGGTCCATGTTGTTTGTGAATCCTGATGGGGTCCGTCATTTTGTGCGGGCTCTGTCGGTCGAGATTTTTGCCCTTTTCTGTAGCGCGTCCGCTTGTCTTTGTCTTCACTGTCGCTATCGGGTCGTCGCGTGATCAATTCGATATTCCTGTGCTTCGGCGGTCTTTCTGTGGAAACCGATGTTGTTTTTTTGTAAGCTGAGACCGGAACCTGGCCCGATGCTGTGTTGAAAAGTGTGGGTTGGTTTTGTAGGATCTCCTTCTTATCATACCTTGTAAGGCTTGCCGCAACTTGGGTCAGGTCCTTAGAAGACAGTGTCTGATTTAAAGTGGCGGCGGCGGCGGCGGCGGCAACTGGACTTTCTGTAAGATGGGCGGCCCAGTCCGCATGTACATTCTCTACTCCAACAACGCGAGATGACGTAACCGTTAAGCTAGACGCTGTGGCGTTTTGTGCCTTGACATTAACAAGAAGATCATTGACAAGAAGGAGAAGAAGACGGAACGCCGACCAGCCGACGAGACGCATCTTCATGCGCGCCGGTCGTTCCTCGTCAACCCGGATACCATTCTCCTGAAACAACATACATAAAACCGAATTCATTGTCAGACACAATTTACGCTAGGCCATTCTGTAACTTTGAGGAACAGGTCGTTTACAGGGTAACCCTTTTCAACTTAATGATGGGGGTTCCTTGAGTAAGAATTAGGTTGAGCCACTAGCAAGTCTCATGATAAAGTTAATCATTTGGCATTATCTAAGCCCCTCGAAAATCAGACAAATGATGTTGAATGCATACGCCGTTGAACGTAGTGTACATGGTCTCTTCAAAATAATTATTCGCATGTTAAATTATTGTTTGATTGAGACGTCTGTCCACCTTGAAGTGATCTTGTTTGCCTAGAATGTTGTTTTATCTCAGGTGACATTTGCCTGAGCATCGCCTTGTGTGCTCGACTCATGGCAGAGAGGAACTGCCGATAAGAACAGTAAGACAGACAGACAGACTGGTGAATAGTGCAGGTCTAGAGATTGGATTTTCTATGTGGACAGGGCTAACAAACTCTCTATGGGCATAGACCTCAGAAAAGACAGAAGAGGATTGAGGAAATCTCTATTCGTGTTGTTTTGATCGATAGTGACAGCAACGTGTCAAATTTCCCCCAAATCGATTACCGCTTCGTGGGTTTCGTCGTCACGCCAGGATTTTTCCTCTATGGCTTCTGCGAAAAAGGTCATGTATCATCCATATAACATTTTGGTTCTGTGATTTCTTTGCAAATTTTCGACAACGATTTGCAGGACATGCCCATGGATGTTGCTCGGCATTTTGTTAGAAACCACATAAAGCCTCAGGACGACGTCTGTATAAGCTAGCGGCTACTTCTTGCAGGCTGATTTTTTTCGTATTTCTCTTTTTGCTATCATCGCAACTTCCGCTGAAGGCTTACAGACCCCGAGGCGTTTGGAAAAAGTGCCTGAACCTAGCTTTTGCCCCAGAAGGAAACGGATGAAACTGGATCGCTTTAGCGGCATAGGGGGCAATCGAGACTCGTTAAGTTTCTGCAGCTCTTCGCAGTGGATCTGTATTTAGCCTAAAGATGGTTAAGGGGTAGAAGATAAATCAGACGGCAACGAGCTAGCTCATCTACGATCATGGGCTGGCAGGAAAGATGTGGTTCCGGCCATGTGAGCCATGAGAGCTCAGGACCCCGGGGTGTTCGTGGGCAGCAAGTGGGTGCCCGTACCAGGGCCTCGAAGATGATGAAACTCCAACGAGGACTCGATGAGTGTAGGATACGGGAAAAGCCAATCCACTACCACCCCACCCATCAAGACGAGGGAGCAGACGATTCATGAGAAAACCGTGACATCGAATAACATACTTTGACTTGAGATTTGATTTGCCAACAAGCATCGTTTCCAGTATATTGGTCACATTAATTCGAATAATCCTAGGAGGAACAAGAAGTTACTGGCATGTATTTACATCAGTATTTCTGTTTTGCGTTTGAACTAAAAAACGGTACAACATTTGACAACAGTTGGATGGAATTACGCTCAGTTGGCAGTGCCCCTGGCAGAACGTCTTTAGCCAAGTATTTGGTTGTGGTGATATCATTAGGAATATAGGCCAGTCCCAATATCACTACTGCACTGCTGCTGTCGCCTTTACTTAGGCTGCTGTCAGAAGCAATCCCCATGGGCTTGTCAATTCTCGAAGGTAAGCTGTCGTAAAGGAGAGGCGAATGTGGAAACCAGTTCGCAGGGAGGAACTGGGAGAAATTCCGATGTCACGTTACAGCCAATTTCGATAGACGCTTAGGTCCGAACGACATCTCTTCGTAGGTCGGTGGCCAGTTCAGCAGTACGGAATCATCAAGACAGTAAGGTCCGAAATTACATGAACATTACTTCACAAGACTGTCAGCGGTGTCAGGGGTTCAGACGGTCACATCATCACCATTACCTACATCACTATCCCAATAAGGGGCTTTTCTAGTATCTGTTCGTTCCATTCCTGGCGTAATTCGTAAGACAGATAGAGGCTTAAAAATTGATACCTGGAACATTACAGACAAGCTCTGATGTATTATGCGTACGCGACCTTGCTTGTTATATAGTCAAGTGTTAGAAGCTCCACTTTTAAGCTACTGGGATCACCCACCTTTATTTGGTTTTCCTAAAGAACAGGAAACAAAGCTATATTCCTACCGGACTGGGTTCGGACGGGGTTAGCGTGTAAGTTGGTTTCATTAAATAAGACAGAAATAGTCAAGTGGCAGATCTGGGGAGCCAATTTGGGGGAGAGGGAGACGCTTTCATTTTTCCAAATTGGGAAGACACCATCATGATGAGCACCACTGTATCGTTTTTGGGACCCCTCGGTTGACTTGTTTGTATCTCTCCGAAGTGGCATCGTAAAGCGGTCAGTAGGAGAAAGGTGGGGCGAGTCGAAACATGTCAATAAGCTTAATAAAGGGGGCAGAAGAACTTGTAAATGACATATCGTAAACTTTTGGGCAACTGATTGTATTTGTATACCTAGTGGCATATCCGTATATGCGTGCGTATACGAACATACTGCGCTCATATTGCTTTAGATGTTAGCTGTAAACCTTTCACTTCCCCTAGTACCTCTACGTGTAACAATAATTCGTAGTGTACATTGTAAATGTGTAGGTCAACTCAGCCCGTATCGGTCGGGTCGGCTAATATCGAATTGTTGCTTGTTTACTTAGCAGGCAAGATGACCGCAAGACGAACACACATACTGCACTCACAAATGTACAAATATATAATTTATATCCGAGCGAGCACACATCTTTCCTAACGGGACGCAATCCAATACGGTAGGCGGCAGTCTGGTCGACCAAAAGATGCAGACAACAATGACAATATACGTGCTATTGGTAATCCGTGTTATTTACACTGCTGTTATACTTTTGTCGGCGACGACGTTAGTACCGCTCATCCTATCGCTCGGCCTACTCCGACTGCTACAGAGACTGTTGTGGTGATCCAGACTTGTCCAGACTGCGCGTATATACGTGTGCGTACACGTGCGGTATAGCAAACGATCCAACAGAAATCGTTTACACGGCTAATTCAGTGCTGTGCGTACACACGGTGATATATGGTGTGTCGTAGAAGTAGTAGAAATAGGAAAATACAAGTGCCTGGCCTTTGATAACATCGTCTGCTGGCACGAACGGCACAGTGTCGCTCATTCGGGGCCCGTGGCTTTCTGCCACTAACATCGACGCTACGATCATATCGGCGACAGGCTGGTTGCCGTCCAGTAGTTCGCCGGTCCCTTGGACGGACGAACGAACGAACTTTTATCGATGGCCACCAGGATCGTTCCTGTCTGCTACGTATCATCGTAATCTAATTAAGCGTTCCCCTCTTGACCCTCTTTCGTTCACCGTGAATCTTCCACGCGGAAACCAGGACCGCACCCCAGCTGCCAATTGCCCTAACTCGGCTCGGTTCACCAGCCAATGGCGGCAGCCGAGAGCGATAGGGGCTAGGTCAAATCGAGCCTAGTCCCCGAGACCGACCGACGGATATATGCCTTCCATGGCCGGGTAGTGGTAGTACAAAGCATGTAAACTAAGGAAGCATTGGGAGGGAAGGAAGTGAACATGGGGGAGACACTGGGCTCTCGTGGGTATTTGGGGAGTGGGTCACACTTATAATAACACATACAGCCATGGTCGATTACAGTGACTACAGCGGGCTTGTGCCGCGCCGACCATAAGTGCAGAACGCCATGTGACGGTGGCAAAGAGGAGACTTGACGGCCAGTATTCGGTATCCGTACATATGTAGTTAGAGACAATTAACCCTCGAGCGTTTGCATGACATTAGAGCAGTATCACGACGTGGAAGACATTCCATTATAATGGTGAGATCCAAGTTTCAAGTTAAATGCTTACGCCCAAATTATCTCAACTTATTTTGTGTAAGTGTAATTACCTTACTCAATTGTGCACAGGCGGCTGTCACAGAATCCAATAGAAGACAGACTCAGAAAGAGAGGAATATTGTTCTTTTGTTTCTATATCCGTCGCTCGTTAGACATAGTCATTCGATGCATTATAACATAGGCTATTCTTAGCTTCTAAAATTAAAAAAGAAATGGTATTAATACCCTATGCAATAGAAGGTGCAAGTATATTAGGCTGGAGCCTTTTATATGTCAATGTGCCTTCGGTGACCGCTATATCGGCCATATAAAATAAAGCTTCGACCCTTCCTTACAAATCTATTACAAAATTGTTATCAGTTTAAATTTTGTAAGTATTCTGTCTATCAGATAGTACCCATTTTGCTGTCGAAAAAAAGAACTTGCTTACTCTTTGCAAGTGGGCATTTATGCTATGAGCCTATGTACCTAACTAAAAGTTTTTTTTAACTAGCTACAACAAACTTTAACATGAAAACACATTGTATTCGAATCTATGAATCTCTACATCGCAAGTTTATGCTAGCGACTATTAGAACCTTCATTAATTGCAGCAATTATTATTACCCCATAGGTGACTAATACGCACCGACAATGCTTTATTTTTATTATCTGCAGTATGCCTCCCAAAGCCACAAATGCAAAGTAAAAAAACTCAAATTTAAAATATGTCAACTATATAGACCGTTGATTCTTATCAATAATGTAGACATTATAATTATACACGGAACGGAGCGACCTGCTAGGTAAAAACGCACGTACACACATGTACACCCAATCGTCCCTACGTCCCTATCTTCATCGTCGTCACTCAGTATTCGTGTCGAGTCTTTTCGGTTTCTCATCCAACTTCAAGCTTCAAGTTCGCGAAGGTTTTCCCGGTTTAGTTGACTAAAATCCAGTATGGGGCTTGCTCAGAATTCCTTTTTGTCGTCATGTCTCGCGGACGAATGAAGAACCGAACGGAAGGACGGACGGACGGGTAGAAGGGTGTGTTGTCTAAGAAGGAAATGTCGAGGGGCCACCAGCCAACGAAGCCCCCTCGCGCATTCGTTCACTCATTTTCCTCATTTTTGTGCTCTCTCATTGTGTCGTTTCATTCGTTCTCTCCTAGTCTTTGCTTCGTTATCCTCGCCTGTCGGCCAACCGACTCTTTTCCTGGTCCCCTCCTGAATCTTCTAGACGGCGGAAAGAAGTACACAGTCTGCAAGGAGCAAGTAATGTAATGGGATTTAGCGGTGGTCACAGTTCATAAAACAAATCCTGGCATGCCAAGACACGCACAGGCTTTAGGGGAAGAAAAGCCGGGATGGAAACCGATGGGGATGAGGCCGCAGTGCAGAGAAACTATAGGCGGCAGTGAGATAGACGCAGGCTTTCGCTGCTTGGTCGTCGTTCTACATCGGTACACAATAGTGGTTGCCTATAGTGGATGTCACTATGCCCTCGGCTATGAATCTAGTATGTCGCTTCTCACTTCGTCTTGCTTAATGTGTCTCGGTGATTTTCTTTTTGCACGCTTTCCTTGCTCGACACTGTAATCCTACAGCTACGCCAACTTCGTATGGCCACAACGGCAGTCACTAGCTTGCTGGCTAGCAGAAATGTATGCCTCTGCGGTCGTGAGACATATCTAGCCGTGTTTGTTTGACAACTGTGTACTTCCCTGTATATCTAGGTGTAGTCTGGACGTATGAAGACAAATATAAAAACATTTATATGGCCACCACACGTTCGGATGGAGTCTATGCATCGTTTCGCGACAGGAGCGATTGGATATATCGGTCGTTATGGTTAAAGGAACAACACAGCGGATGCGCGTTATTCAAACGCACGTAAAAGTGCCACATGATCAGAAGAGACAACTACTATTTTTTTCTTTAATTTTTGAGAGGGGTCATAGTGTTCGGCAAAAGGGCTTTGGTTATATCGCCTACTTCACTCGCGACATAACCAGTTGTCACGGTAGTGGTCGCAACTCAATAGCAAGTCGCAAGAAGTAATGAAACAGAAATGTATATAAAATACGTCGCGTATAACATGCAATGCTTTGCACTGACCAGCGGCAAGCGATAGCAATGTTGAAGGCGATGGAAGGTGTGGCAGCTAGATGGCTAGATGTACGAATGCCTATCCACGTTTCTAAGGGGGTACTATAATATACGTTAATGACTAAGCAAACCTCCGCTTCATACCGGTCGGGCCCGTCCTCCTGCTGCGTACACGAAGAGAGCATTAGCAGAACAAATAAAGTAATGGGCTTCATGCCACTGCTCCCCAAGGCACGGACGACTCACACACAAGCTAGCCTGGCAGCAGAAAGGGCACACTGGGCAAGAAGCAAAGACTGACCCAGTCCCATTTCGCTTTACTACAAGAGAAGAGATATCCACCTTGAGACGAAAAAGGAAGAGCCCCTCACGTAGCTTAACTACAACTAACGCTCATGCCAGTTGTAGGACGGAGCGACGAGCATTTAGTATCTGGCCGTAGAAGTAACAAGAAGCACACATTGCAAAGCCTGTAGTCCGAAGAACCTGGCAAGGCTTCAAGCCTGTGCACTACTTCAAACGTCCTTCTTTCACAAATGTACTATTTGTAGGTACCTTTGAAGTTTCCACCTCTTACATAGTGGCACGCTTCGATGCATTTCGAAGTAGCACAAACAAACGTCTGACCCGCCGAAAAACGTCAATGTGTCGTCGAGTATGACATTGCCCACCCAGACGTGACTTCAGCCTTTATTCGGGTAGACAATAGGTTTCTGCCGCAGTCTGAGGGGGTAAGAAATCCAATAAAATTCCCATGTGCTACTGTCCAACATTCTATGGTCTCCAGCACATAACTGTAAACAGGCTAGGTTGAACATACGAAAATAGCGATTCCCTTAGGGGTACGAAAATGTACAATATATAACTAATCAGACTCTGACATATAATCTCCGTCCGCGTTTTCATAGCAAAAAAATGGGGCTTAGGCATCATGCGCATGTTTAACAAAAAAACACAACATACGACATTATACGTGGAATCATTGTAATTTAATTTTTTCTAATATCTGTTGGGTCTCATCATTATGTTATGTAGAGCAATCCTATGCTCGACAAGAATCAGTGAACTGGCCAGATAGAGAAGCAATCATAAAAAAATCCGGCCTATTGTATGCTGACTGTACCCAGCCAAAAACCTGCCGATATACAGAATTAATAGGTTAATATGCCATCCTGTAATACATGAAAAAATTGCTTCATCGTAGCTACGATGATGTAAAATGGCATCGATAAACGCGTCAGTGTACTATAACGGCACGACCGTCGAAAGTACGACCACGGAAACGATACTGTGGAAAATTCTAACAGATCAAGAATACCATATTGGTATATAAATATGCGCTATTCTTGCCTATTCTAGTGATGCTTTCGACAAAGATCGCTCTATATTGCTAGTACTGGTTTGCGATTCTATTTACAGATGACGATTGTTGAGCCTCACCCTCTCAAGTCACGTCATTCTCTGTTAGTTCTTTATAATGAGTATGATCATCATAATTCAGTGATGAAAGCAATTACAACGCGAACTTCGGCTTGTTCTGCGACTGAATGCGGGTGGCGGTCTGTGCTGCTGACGAGGCCGATACCCTAAGGAGCTCGTGAAGCGTTCATTCCCAGTGCCAACGGTGCCTTTTTGCCCTACTCTTCACCCAGCCTTTGGTTTCATTATTGACCGCCTCTGCTCTTAATGATATGCGCGAACGAAGTAACGAGTGACGGTGATCTTCATGAATCTGTTTTTTGCGTCGTTCCACTAATGTCACTCAATGCCATTGAATACTGGGCTTTCCTGGCCAGTATACAACAACTCTATGAAGACTTTCGTGCCTATTCTATGTTGTTGCGACTACTATCTGAAATGCTTCACTTGCGAGGCCAATGGAATGAATGTTCGCGCAATACCATCACCGTAAAACTAAGTAGCAGAGAGGCCATGGCCGCTGCAAAAGCCGTTGTTGCGCTACTGTCTGTAGTGATATTACGCGAGGTGTAAAAAACTGGAAGAAGAAAGGCATACCGATCTTCGTAAGTATTCGCTATAATAGCGATCATTAAGTAGATAGGGTATCATGCTTGACTGATGGCCCGTATGTCAAGAGATCTAATTCATTGATGATTAGCAAAAAAAAAAAAAGGACGAAAGATGAAGAGAAACCAGAGTCAAGCAGTAGGTCGTCACTATTGAAAGAACCCATTGACACAATGATTATCGTCCTCTCGACAGTGTCGAGTGGATAATCAGCCCATCTCTCGATGTAACATGTAATGAAATAGTCATTTCTCATGACTAGGGTGAATACTAGGGTAATATAGTCAGAGGGATTAACCTACATATTACGGAAATGTTTTTTTTATTTAATAAAAAATCATTTAAAATGTTTTCCTGCACAACACTTCGTTTAGCCCATTGATTTTATTGTAAGCATTGTTGCTCATAAGCTCTAATCGTTATAGTACCGTTCAAAGCAAAGTACACTGTGTTATATTTTGCAACATGTTTTACATAATAATAAGAAGTTTACATAATAGTATCGCTTTAAAAAATTGAAAGATAATAGGCATTTAATTTTGAGTTGTAGAGAGTTCCTGAAAGGCCTTCTTTATTAGTCGAGCAGAAGCTACTTAGGGTAGGTCATACACAGAGAGCTGTGGTGAATGAGGCACCGTCAAGGTCAAAGAATGACCTCCGTCAAGGATTTAACGGGCCAAGCGATTATCTAGCCACTAACCGATAGAGGCGCCAGCTAAACCGGCCATAGACAATCTTCATAAAAGGCACCACGTCAGTTTGTTGACGTCGCACTCTGAGGGCTTCAGTGTAAAATAGAACGGCATCAGGAACATGCAGTAGATTAGCCAGTACACATGACCAACATTGATTAATGGAACACACCGGCTGACCGAGTTGGTATTGTTGTCGTTCCTATTGTTACTAGGTTCGAGCTACAGTTAAAGGTCGAACGGAATGTATTAGATAAAATGCAGTGACAGTTATTTAAAGTATTCCATAGTAAAAAAAGCAAAGCTTAAATGTAGAGTACTTATGGCAAAATGTTCTACGAGATGTAGCCAGCTAGCCAAGTAAGTTGTACACGATAACGATATCATTGTTTGTTGAAACTACAAGGCATGAGGACGCTGTTCCCTATTGGTGCAGGATTAAAGAAACGGCTGTGTTTATGTCGTCGAGAAAGGTGACGGCTAAAGCTAGTCAAACGCGGAAAGTTTCTGGGTTAGAGCACGAAGCAAATCTTCACCTAACAGAACCCCACAAAAGTTACCTTCCATTCGAGCTATAAGCTGCAGGTTCTTTAACTGAGAGCAGAAACTGCCAGTGGCGTAAGCGTTTTGATGTCTGTATACGCTATTGTGTCTCACCGGAACCACTTTACGAACGTGTAGACACTCTCTTGCGATCTAGCGCAGCGTGCATGTATTACCAGCTTGCTTCAACAACGGAATGAAGCAAAGAGCACTTTACGATTACTGTTTTCGAAGGAGGATAGTTTGTAGCGTGGGAATGGGACTTGTATCCTTCTTTACTGCTATCGTAGATATGTTGCCTCTTTCAGAAAGAAAACTCCAACTGCAACAGTAAACTAACTATATACGACAGGAACATATCATATGAAAATAGGTCTATTGCAAGAAATAGCCACTTCTCTGTAACTTTTACTCTCCCAAAAATGTCATAAGGATACATCAGCAACCTTGTGCGCGTCCGTGATTCTTCGAATAAAGTTTTAGTCTTTACAAACAAATAGTTTTTAGAGCTTTTTTAGCTGACAGTCAATTTACTTTCTTAACGTTTGACGCTGAGCAATAACTCATTTTAATTCGTAGCAGTCATCTCCTCGGTACAACAGGAGCTTGATACAAAAGTTTGTCAAAATCGTAATGTCTGAGTCGACCGTACTGCTACCGGCAGTTTCGACTGTATGCTCTTTATATATTTAGATTTTGCCTAAAATGGCGCGTATTACTGAATCGCTATTACATTGAGGTTATTCAAATTTGGCTAAGACTGTGATCCCCTGGTTTAGAAACGCTAAAAGAACGAAGTCAACAGGCTGGGCTTCCGATTTCTTTGACGGAAGCTTCTATATATGGGCGCTGAAAGATTAGGGCTCTATGAATATGAAGTAGATAAACCCTGATTAGTGGGATTGCTGGTCGCTGAAGCATGAAGGCTTAGGGCCATCTAGATGAAACGAGAGCGACTCGCGTGCCAACTACACTTCACTGTTAACGTTTTTGCTGTCCGAACAATACGAATCGTTCCTAGAAGTGCAATGGAAACTTGCAACTAGGTTTAGCTCCAAATGAGTATTTCCGAGGATAAGTCCATGTGTAGCCTGATAATCTCAAATCGAGTTTGAAGGTGCAAGCCTCTGAGTCGGCCGGTAGAGCGATATCTACTGCTAAAAACATTGAAAAAGATGTTTAAAGCGCAGGTGAAGATTTAGAATCGATTCTATGCTTATGCAGGGTATAAGGTTTAGTATTCAGGCCGACGTTGCCTGCCTGTCATAGATTCCCTCTTGATTGCTTTAATATTGATTTGAAAGTTGTCTCGTATTTCTAAAGCTACAAAGCTCAGACAAAGGAAAGCTTGCTAACTAGTGTCAAAATTGACGTAAAGGTCTCTTATTTTTTCAGGCAATGGTATGTTAGTCTTTAAATTTAATAGATTTTTTAACTTCAGATTGTCATCGACCATTTGTCGAAAACAAGCAAACTATTTGACTAATTTGCATTTGACTAAAGCAATCGAATGTAACGAGCGCATTTAAACCCGTCAATCAAATTTGTTGTATTTTTCAATTGCAAGCTACTTCGGTCTTTCGTAGTACGTTCGACAAAATGACGTCTCGAATAGCTAACAGTGTCTGTACGCTGTCATTATCCTACACTTGCGCAATTATAGTATAACTTCTGTTTTGTGGCGAACTATTACAGAGGCTGAACTGAATGTGACGGCGTTTTCTGCTTCTCATAAACGCAGCTTTATCGTGGGTAGTGGTATTGCATGGATGCAGGAAAGGCATGTTGCTCTGTCCTGCCACTTCTTTTTTTTTTCGTCTTATATATTGGTCGGCCCATGGCCTACTCCCCGTAATTTGTGCCATTTGAAAGGATGGATACATTGTGCTATATCGTTCCGTAGCCTCAGGCAATGAGATAGCAAGAAAACACTGAGCTCCTGATATAGAACTACACACACACACAGGAAAGGGACTGAGGAAACGTTCTGCTGCAAACCACACACAGGGAACAAATCTAAGGTGCAATCATATATTCCCTTGACGCGTGCCCACTGTCTTGTATGTCGTTGGCGCAGAGTGGTGTCGCTGACTGAGGACACGAACTATTTATCGCAGGGCAACGCTGACGCTCCAGGCGTGAGTGATATCGTTATCGTATTATGAGCGACTTTTGTTTCGGGTCCCAGACTTTTATAGCTTACTTTGTTATTTCGTGTTAGGTTGTTTGGCAGGCCAAGGGCTCTACTCCGTTCGATGCCATTCTTCTAGTATAAAAGGGCGCGTCAATAATTTTCAAAGATATGAAACTTGAAAATGTTTCATATACTTAAAGCTGTACGATTTTTGTAGTTTCAAAATATAAGCGGACAAATTATGTAAACCGTTCGAAATAGTGAAGCTGTTTGTATATATTTTGTTCAACTTCTTAACATAGCTTCTTCCCAAAGTACTAGTTGATATTTTGGTAAGTTATCTAACTTCAGGGGGGGAGGGAGGGAGGGAGGGGGAAGGGGGTATATATTGTAGGAAACAATCCAATGTGATGTTGATAAAATTGTTTTTTGTAAGGTAGTTTTATGTCGTAGGCTCACATGTAGGTATTACTTGAGGTCAACTATTCAATACTTTGCTTCCATTCAGCCTATGAAGGCATCGGCGTGTAAACAATTATATATGTACCATGTCAAATATAACGAGCAAGCTCTACAATATGTACATATTGCCCTCAATTAAAATGGAAAAGTCGTAAGCACAATGTTTATTCTACCATATGGTGTTTTTGTCAAGCATGTGTCGTGCATTACTATCCAGTATTACTATATAGAGTCATGTTGTTCTTACATGCTGACCCCTTGTGTTCGGTCAACGTGAAAATATGAGCGCCGTGCACGTGTAACGTTCCTTCGCTTATGTCTAATAGAGTATAGTAAAGTGCAATGGTCGACGAGTAGTGACAAATTATAAAGCGAATTAAGGTAGCCCACGCATATCTATTCAGTCTGTCTTATGTTATTAAATTGCCACTCTAAAGTTGGCTTACGTTACGGCAAGGATCGCATTACTTGAGAAGAAGTTCTCGAATCGTGCTTGTGCAAACGTCGTTTCGGAAGTAGAGTAAATCAGAGACGGGATCAGCCGTTTCATGACGGCTCTCACTGTGCAAAACATGACTGACAATTAAGACTCCTTGAAATATTTTCAGTGTCACTCGGTAGTACGAGTTATCTCTGTCTGGAAATGACAGTCGGAAGCAATCGGACCAACTTGCTTGTTCAGGTTAATTGGTGTACATCAACTGAAAAATATGGATGTAGTACTCATAAATTCAGCTTCCTTTTGAAACAGAATCACCGTAGAGGAACGCTAGTTTGCAACGGCACCAGACAAACTGTGCGCTTGAAAAAATGGTTGACAACGAGTCGTTTATGGCTTGGTGGAGCACTGGGGGGTCCAGACCATAGAAGAGTACAGCCGATTTCAGACTTATGAATTGTTTACGGCACCTAAACCTGCTTTGAGTATTTGGATACGAATTATTTTCTGGCAGGAAGCCTGCGCATTTTATCATCATACCTTATTATTTGGCAATGAGATCTATATTAGAGGAACAAATACGTATATTCACATCATTTAAAAAAAGCCATTACTGTGCTAGAGGTCATGTACTGGCTATCAGCTCGTAGGATCGTTTCGAGTACATGATGTAAATATTTTTGTTTTGCTAATAATGACTGAGACTATTTTTTTTTTTAACAGTTGCGCTTGATCCAGCTTTTGACGAGTTTATTTGCAATATGGTAGAATTCCTTTATCATCTCTCAACATATAGTCCAACAAGTTTCCCTATATAAGAGTAAACTATTTATTATGAGCAAACTGAGCCATATCTTAGAGGAAACCTGGTAGATGCGTGCATTTTACTGCACCGATTCATGCTGAGTCATCCAAGTATGCGCATGTGTAAATGTGACGATCAGACGGAACGTTACGATAAATCATAGCCTTCTACCCAGTTGACAGGTTAACGTCAAAAGGACGGCCGCATTTTTCCGGCGCACAAAGCAGAAAAATTAGAAAGAAGGAAGATTCTGTACGACGATGTATGATGTGGGTGTGTGGAGCGTGAAATACGGCATTTTGTTCCTTTGTGCTGCGTCCTATCCCACTGGAAGGCATTGCGTTCTCCAGCGTCGCCATCGCCATCATGTTGCTTTCGAATAACCTGTATTCACCCTTGCTGCTGCTGCTGCTGTCCAACCTACCCATAGGTTCTCGTTATTCCTTCGTAACCTGCCTGCTGCTTGGACAGCCATTGTAGCATTCAGATAGAACAGGCTGGTTTGTTTGCATGGCCAGCCCAAGATGCGCTCATAGATGCACCCTCCAGGATGAAAGGCGGTAAATATAAGATCGAGCTTTGGCGGGGAGAGATCGGCGTCCGCGTGTGTGCTGGTCGGGTCGACAACAGGTTGGTCGACAAAACAGCCAAAGAAAATACCTAGACGCTGCCACGGCACAGAAAATACAAAGAAAGAACAAAGGACGAGGCAAATGAGATATGGCAGTACAGCAGGAAAGACTACGATGGTAGTTGAGGGCCGCGAAAAGCAAGAGGAGTTCGGCCTGACGAAGTGTAATTTATATGCGTATAGTCTTACATAGTTTAGCAATGCTTAAAGGAAACGAGAGTTGGAGTGGATGACGATAGCAGCTGGGGGAGTGGGTTGGGTCCACCCAGCTGTACGGATGACTAGGATACAAGAAGGCCTTATGAGAACCCTAAGCGACGCCTGTTATGAGGTGAGCTTTGAACGATATGCCATGAAAAACCGAGAATGCTGCAACTACGCAGGTCTTCGTTTTTCTTATCGTGTATGCTAATGAAAACAACGTCTTGGCGAACGACACCTCAAGCAAGCCTGAGGCCTGAAGTTTGGAGCTTGGCCCCTTATGGGTGCGAAACTGAACATGTAGAGGAGAGAGGGTCTTCTATGTCGTCACGCTGACGACAACAGCGGAAGGGCCCCTATTTACTAATAAGACCTCAATGAGTCGGTTGGACAAGGACCTGCCGGAAAACGTTCCGGCTTGC